CTTGTAACGTTTTTTTGAGAACCCGGCCTAGCTCTTGATCGGTAGAGCGGTTGCCCTCGGCCCGTGATTCCGCATCACAAAAAAACATTAAATAATAATAAAAAGAAAATAATTAATGAAAAAAAAGGTCTTTCATTTACACTATATAATTTTTTATTCATTAATAGTTTGTGAGGGCCATTTATTTATGAACACTATTTCATTTATTTTCACGCGCATACCGTTCAGAGTCGAAGATCACTTGCAATTCCAACCGCAACCGCTTCTTTAAAACCGAAAATAACCACACGAGACCAATTCCCTCCTATCAATGAAAGCAACAACTCAACCTCTTTCACGATCAGTCAAACGAGAAAAAAAACTCACCACCGAATTTCTTTGCATGATTTTTCTCTCCTCTCTTCTCTTTACATACCTCCCTGAACTTTGCTCGCGGACGTTACAAACTAAAAGACGTGCTTTTTAGCAAATCCCATGTTACGATATAAAAAGAGTTAGTATAAAATCCAGCATAAGGTGGTACCAGTTAATAAAGAATCGTACTTTATTTCTTTAATTATTTATTTCGGCATGTTAAAGTCTTCTTATTGAGTCTCTTTTAGAAGAAAAACCAACTTAATTGAAATACAAATTCTGAGTTAAACGTTGTTGTTCGCTGTTGCTTTTGATGGCCACTATGGCAACTCAATCGGTAGAGCATGAGACTCGTAATCTCAGAGCGGTGGGGCACATCTCATTGGAGTTAGCAAAGCCTTTTTCCCTTTTTCTCGGGGCAGTTCGTCGGATACCAGGGTTTTTGTCCTTAAATTACGATTCTATAGATAATATTTTATCCTCAGTCAAAAACTTATGTGATCTACTGAGGAATTTTTTATTAAAATTGTATTCAGGCACTTGAACCAGAAAGTTAACTTCACGAACATTTTAAATCTATATTGCCTCAAGATAAACAAATGTTTAAATCTCAGTAAACCTGATTAACGTTCTGTTTTGAAAGTTAGCTCCTAATTACGAATAATAATTATTGCTTGTGAAATAATAGAAAAATCTTTTTATAGTTTTTCCCAAATACGGAAACTAAAATTTAACCGCGTAGTGAGAAATTTAAAAAAAAACAGGAATTTAAAAAAAATGTTGTGAGCAGAGTTTTGCTAAACATAACGAGGAGTGTTTGTAGCGTGTTTTCTTTCACAGCAACGTCCCTATATTTTGAATTACAGTGAGAAAATTTAACTTCATAGGATAGTAAAAGCAGCGAACATTTTAAATTTATATTGCCCAAAATAAATAAATATCTAAATCTCAGTAAATTTGATTAACGTTCTGTTTTGGAAAGTTAGCTCTAAATTACGATTAATAGAGAGTACTAGTGAAGCATCAAAGAAAAAAAAGGAACACAACGAATTTGAGAAGTAGTAATTGAATGATGTGAAGGTTACTTTTATCGACCAACTAATCGTTAGCGGACGGAGCAATAATAACAAGAGCAGCGGGGGTAACAGCAGCTACCACGGGATTTTTTTCACTCATCGACGGGCGCCGAACCCCTGCACGTACCAGCGACGATACCGGGGCCGAACAGCAAAATGGCACCGGCATTATTTCAAGATTATATGCTCTTCTTGCAAGACCTGATGCGTCATACCGCCATAACGGAAGAGCAAAAATTAGAACGTATCTACATGAATGTGCAGCCCGATTACCTGTGGTACATACGGCGCCAAGACTACAGCCTGGTAGAGTCGGGGTACCTTGCGGTCTACGAGACCAACCACGCGCACTAGAAGGACAACATGGCGATCGATTTCGAAGAAGCAGCGTCCATTACAAGTCTTCACCCACCGCCAGCAACCTGGTCAACAAATTGCGAGTCCTATAGTGGCCAATGTTGACACATGACCCGTACCTACCGGCCAAGGAATCGACGTACCGATGTCGGAAAGCAAAGATATAGGAGTGGTGATAGGGCTCTCCCTTAAGAAGAGGCAGACGCCACGCCCCATCTTGGAACAACATTCAAGTTTTCCTCAACAGCAAGCAATTGTGACAACATCACGGGCGACACCACAACAACACCAGCAAATCACAGTCAAACTTATCAAAGGCGAATCGACTATATACCCCGACAAATATCGCATTGCAGTTTTAGTAACCATGTTAAACAACAGCAGCACCAGCAACAACAACAGCGAACACCAACAGAGATCAGTATCCGATTCATACAGCGGATGCCAACTTGTAGTAATGTTAATATCGTCACTTCTTCGCAACAATATAACGATCATAACAATAACATCACAACAACTACAGCGAATTCAACCCATGCTGCCCATGCAGCAAAGGCAATATGAACAGCAAAATGCTAACAATAATTTTAACGGCTGCTCATCGATTGGAACAGGCGATCTGACATCAGGTATGCCTCCAGCAATAGCGATCGTAGAGAATGGAACAGCAGGAAACATGAAAGTCACTAGTAATGAAAACAAAATTTTGTTATGAAACAAAAGTTAGACAAATTTATCCATATTCACCTATACCAAGCGGTATGAAGGGAAATATCAACAATAGTAGTAATCAATTGCAAAAGCAATCTGCCTTGCATAACCAACCATCACTGCAAGCGAACTTTATAAAGCAGGCACTACCTTCACCTGTGCCACCCCACGTTTAGTTTATGAAATCACTGACTTGATAGAAAAGGCCACAAAGTTTCTGAAAGGCAACGGCAACGACGCAAAACGTTAGATTATGTGTCTAATAATATGGGCAATGAATTGTCTTATAACGGCTGCGACTAAGTTAGTTGAGGGGGCCGTTGCTCACTACCCGCCTTAACATTCCAATAACATTGGCTGCAATTCCAACTATGGTCGTTTTAACCAGTTGCATTTACAATCGAATTTGCGGACAAGTGCAGTTGTTTGAAAAGGTAAGTTTATTGTTTGGGAAGCGATATTTAGTAATAGAGTAGTTTTTCGTTTCTCTAAAGTTTATGTAACATAATGAATAGAAAAAAATTTTTTTGATTAAGGTAGTGTTTCTAATAATGAGGGTTCATATATTTTCTTCTCTTTAAATGGCTAAAAATATTGCTCTCTTCATACCAGTTCATAAAAGTTAATCTTTCCAATTCCAGATCAATTGTGCTGTGAATGCTGCAAGCTGACAAAAAAAAGTCATCGAATTTTCGTCAAGCACAACTAAAGAATGATGCGGCGAAATCATACTAATACGTCGAAACAGAAACTAATCTTTAATTTAAAGCGGTCTATTAATAATGTAGTGGTGAGTGTTATAAATAGAAATTAACTGATCTTATTAAAACTAGGAAGTATTATAAGTAAGGAATCGAAATAATTAGTCTGAAAAAATAATTATAGCTGCAAAAACATATAATTTACTTTAAGAAATATTGACTATAGTTGCAACAAAATGTTTTGAATGCGAAAACACGTGCATAATGTCAAAATATTTGCTACATCTTAGCAAGAAAAGAAATATTTAATGAATTTTATTATTATTCCATTAGAAGACAAGAAAAGATTTAAGAGTAATTTTGCACTAAATGTGCTATTTTTAGATTACACTTGTCTTTCGGTTAATCGTATCAAGAAATATGCATCAGACGCACTTAAAAGTTTGTGATTAGCAGCAGATAGTTACAATTCTTTCGCCTATCTGTCGTCTTGCCCACATTCCCAAGAACATACGTTTTTAACTTAAGTCTACAGATCATATCGAATATCAACTGTTCTTCACTCATAAAAGTGCATGATGCACCAATGTGCACCCTAAATTAATTATTACTTCATTAATGTGCAATTACAAAAAGCACTTATTCTACATGGGCATCCTAATTTATAACTTCCAGTTATTTTAATTCCATCTAAATATTATGGTTATGCTGACTTAACTATTATGGTTGAATTTCAATAGCAGATGTCTATCATGTAGTGGCAGCAGTAAATATTTGTTTAGGTAGTCAACTAATCTGGGCGTCATATTCTGTATTGGTTGTTTATTCGAACATGTTGCAGCATCTCGTTATTAATTGCTTAAAAACTTGATGAATAATTTATTGATATGATTAAACAAAGAAAGCTTTGAGTTTCCAAATAATAGTCACCTCTGGTCTCGACATAGGGGATACTCCAGTAGACTGATCAAGACTTCTCGCTATATGCCGCTGGCTTCACGTTGATGAAAACTAAACAATTGTGTTTAATAGTGATTGTCGCGCAACAGTCTACTAAAAATGTCTTCCGGTATGTACATCCTCGTCTAAGAAGAATGATAATTTTACCCCGCCAAAAACACGGCACTACGATGAAATTTAAATTAAAAAAAATTATAAAAGATTGACAGGTAAATAATTGATGTTTCGTTCAATCTGCTAATTGAGAACATTTTTTTGTAATTTTTAAGGTCTATCACATTAAATGAAATGAAATTTACAAAACAAAACGACGTTAATTTCATTCTTTACGCTAACCTAAAGCACGATTACTTGTCTCAACCGGGCATCGTTTGACTATACTCAAACACCATAGTTTATCATTTCTTATGTCGTTAAGTAGCTTTGTTCTTCTTCTCTTTGCATTTCTCGCTCTTACGAGTTTGTTGCTCCACTAACATGAGACCTAGCCACCAATTATTTCTTCAAATAATTTCTCACTTAACATTCGATTTTCTGCATATGCGTATAAAGGAGAGTGGCACTGTCGACACTTTTGTACCACACCGATGGTCTTAAGTTTATTTAAGTTCACAAGTTATAAATATTTTTAATAATCATTTCAATAGTTGTATCTTGCGCCTAAAAAAGTACTTCATATGAAACTGAGAGTTCTTGCTTACCTACTACTTTTACCTCACTTAATTCACATGACGAGCAAACCGGTTGCGAAAAACGGAAGCAGGAAATAGAAATATGCTCCTCCCGTCGTTACCAGTCTGTGTTGCCAATTAATCAGAATCTCATTCAAAGCTTTTATCGTAGCTTCGAACCATAACCATCCTTGTTTTACATTATGCGGTCTACTTTGTGGTTCATACAAGGAGGCTACTAAACTTAAAATACATAAGAGATTTAATCTTAAATTTAATTTAAGGAAGAAAATTCGACAATATTTAACTTGACTGATATCAACTTTCCATTGGCTTTCCTTCCACAATGAAATACTTCGTACGAAAACAAACCTGTTTACTTAAATATATGCTCAGATAGGCTTGTGTGTTGTAATGGTTTAATCATGCTTGGTACGGCCACCATGTAATTATATTGGTTAAATAGACATTGCCTGGAAGAAGACGCGGGTACTCGCTGTGATTGTCTCTAGTATTCATAAGTGAGCTAGAGTGCGACATCCTAAATTAAGAAATGTGGGAGTAATGTTGCATACAAAAATTAGGAGCAACCTGTTTCTATTTGAATTTTAAAAAGCCCATTCGCATACACCGACCATTAGTTTGGTAATGACGTTACAAAGATTGTTGTTGTATTCTGATTTCTGATTGGGTTGCGTAGGAACGGCAACACCCACCAATTTGATTCCACTTGCCCTTTGCGTCGTCTGAAGTGATGGTACGCTCGCTCTGTTGCTGGTGGTGTTGACACTTGCTGGGTTTCGTTGCAAGACCTGCAAGAAAAAATCGTTAGTAGCGTAGCCTTTTTTTT